AGATAGAACTATACGTTTGGGGTCAATGGTGTGTAAGTGGTGTGTTGATTGCCTCCCCAATATCATATCTATTCCTTTTTTTTTTCAGTTGAGATATAATTGACATGCAATACTGTGTAAGTTACAGGTGTACAATGTGTTGGTTTGATACATATTGCAATATGATTACTAGAGCAGTGTTTGCTAACACCTCTGTCACGTTACCTAATTGTCATTTCTTTTTTGTGATGAAAACAATTAAAATCTAGTTTCTTAGCAAATTTGAAGTTTATAATACAGTACAGTTGACTGTAATCACTATGCTATACATTAGATCTCCAGAATTTATTCATTTACTAATTGCAAGTTTGCACTGTTAAATGACTTCCCAATTCCACCCCCCCCCTCCGACTCTTGGTAATCACCATTCTACCCTCTGTTTTTGTGAGTTCAGCTTTTTTAGATTCCATGTGTAAGAGATATCATACAGTATTTATCTTTCTCTGACTTATCCCACTTAGCACGATGCCCTCAAGTTCCTTCCATGTTGTGAAGGGCTGGATTTCCTTCTTTCTCATGGCTGAATAATATTCCACTATATATGTGTATATATTTGAAATATAAACATAAATTCTCTTCATTCTATCAGAGTCTTACATTTGTTCAGGATACAAGGTGCCCAGTTCAAGATGCCTTCCCTGACTGGCTGCTGGGAAATGTAAACAGAAGTGGCTGGATAAGAGTTCCAGGAAACTTTATACAAAGTGATAGATTAGACTTTCATGTATTTTTGTCATTCTTCCATCTACATGCCTGGGACATGAAGTTGAAGCTGGGGCCAGAGCATCTATCTTGTTATTTGAGGCAAAAAAGAGGAGGAGAATGAAAGCTACATGTGAGGATGGTGGCGAGGAATAGTCAAGGGTCCCTAGGATGCTGATGACATCGGAAACCTGCTGTGCCAGCCCTAGATCATGTATTTCTAATCTCACTCGGAAAGGAATCCTGCATTTGGTTTAGATAGTATAGTCACTTTTTTGGCGGTATGGTTGTCCCTTGGTATCTATAGGTGATTGGTTTCAGGACCCCACCTCCCCACCAAGGATACCAAAATCTGAGGATGCTCCAGTCCCTCATATAAAATGGCATAGTATGGTTGGCTGTCCATATCTGTGGGCTCCACATCCGTGGGTCTGGAAGGCCAACTGTATGTAGTCAGATGCAGTCCTGATACTGACGGCAACTGAACCCAAAGGCCTTAATGCATGTGCAAGGGCAAAGAATCCAGACTGTGAGAGGAGAGGGGGGCCTAGGAAGAATTCATGAGGACAGCCAGGTACAGGAGGCTGACTTGCAAGGGAGACTGTTTGAGAAGGAGTGCTTAGCAGTAGTCCCAAGGTAGGAGGGTAGAGCTCAGTGGTAGAGCGCATGCTTAGCATGCACGAGGTCCTGGGTTCAATCCCCGGTACCTCTTCCAAACATAAATAAGTGAATAAACCTAATTACCTCCCCCTCATAAAACACATAAAAAAACAAGCAAAAGGTGTGCTTCGATACTGTTCCACAAATTTGTCTCATCCTTAAAAAAAAAAAGAAGAAAAAGAAGAAGTATTTCCAAGACCAGGAAGCAGAAGGGTTAAAAGAACAACCCTGTCACCAGAATTCACTCCTGGCTCAGGCCACTCCTAGCCAGGTGACCTAAAGTAGTTCACTTAACTGATCTGTGCCTCAGCTTCCTTATTTGTTGTTTTTAAAATTTTTATTTATTTTATTATTTTCTGAGGGGGAAGGAGGTAAATTCGGTTTATTTAGTCATTTATGTTTTTAGAGGAGGTACTGGAGATTGAACCCAGGACTTCATGCATGCTAAGCATGTGCTCTACCACTTGAGCCATACCCTCCCCCCCCCAGTGTCCTCATTTGTAAAATGAGGATATAATAGCGTTATCGCAGTGATTAAATGTGAAGGGCCTACAGGAAGCCCTCCGTCAGCACCAGCTGCTGTTATTGTTAATCATTCCACAGAAAGAGGGTTTTTTGTTTGTTTGTTTGTTTTTGGGGTTTTTTTGTAAAGGCTAATCTCTTGGGAAGCCTGGCAAAAGCTATTATCCTCCATGGGATTATCAGACATTTGTTCTCACACAAGTTCAATGAAAGGGCCCTTTAAGGTGTCACAAAACTCCTTTTCCAAGTCTTCCTGGCTGGTCCTGTAGTTGTGCACTGGCAAAAAGTTTTCAATTCAATGAAGCATTTAAGAAGCATTTGTTGAACCCCTTCCATGTGCCAGGACTGCGTTTGGGTGATGGTGAGATACAAAGATGAATGCAATATTGTGTTTGTGCATGTGCACACGCTTGCGGGGACAGGGGAGGGCGGCCAACAGCAACTGCTACTCTCTTGTTTTTACTGGACTTGAGCCAAGCAGATGTGAACTTGAGGAAGCACCTCATGAAGGTTAAAGATGAAGCTAACCTGGCAGAAGGCAGAGCCAAGAGATGGCGAGATGGGGAGTCCCAGTGCACTGGCATGTTTGAGCCTGGATCAAATACACCTTGTGAAAATTAATGAAAGGAAAACTTACTAAAATGGAGTAGGGAAGCCAGAAGGGGGAGATCTCATGCACATGCAACTCAGATCTTCATAGGAAGAGATGTTATCTTGCTTCTCCAGCAGGAAGTGACACTACTTTACCACCATTAGGAGGAGGATAAAAGATTCTCTTTGCCTGGAGACAGCTCAGCCAATGAGAGACTGTCACAACTCAGCCAATGAAAAGTCACTATACTTCAAACTCCCAATTTTCCTCCAATAGACTTTTTGTTTGTAACAGCCCCTCCCAACTTCCCCTTCTCCCCTATAAAAGAGTGTCCTTTGCCTTATTTGGACTTGCATGTAGTTCACCACAGTTGCATGTAGAAACCTGCAATTATTTGCTGCTCCCAAATAAAATTTTTGCTGATAAAATAACTGGCTGTTTGTTGTTTTAAGTTAACAAGTGGAAGAGAGAAATTAGTCTCCAACTTTTTGTTTATGGAATCCAATAAATTGTTAGATTTTCCTTCACTTGCAACTGAAACAGCTCTAAGTGATGTCTCCTGCCTTAAAATTTACTAACTGCTTTGTACACATTTGTTAATGTGAACATTTAATTAAAATGAACTGTTGAAGTTGCATAGTTAGCCAGTTTCAGAAGCTGGAATAAATCCTAGGAATCTTTTTTTTTTATTACATTATGGAAAAATTCAAACAAATACAAAAGCAGAGTCAATATCATAATGAACCACTATGTTCCTATCACTTAATATTCCATCAAGAACATATTCCATGGTTTATTCTCATATTTTGGCATTCTGATTCCTTCGGGTGTGTGTGATTATATATAACTATGTGATAATTATTGTTATTTTGCTTAAAACTTTTTCTGAGTTAATTAATTAGTAGGGACCACCAAAAGCAAGATTACTGGGGAAAGAATATGAACATTTTAGAGTGAGGCATTTCTAATAATGATTTTATACCATCTTCTATGGTTATCTCAGACGTGACTCAAGATTCTGGATAAAATTGATAGAAACTGACTAATTTTATGAACATAAGCCCTTGAGTGTATGTCACAGAAATATAAATTTGGGGCACACAGCCATCCAGAAAAAAGAACTACATTTCCCAGCCTCCCTTGTAGCTAAGTATGACCATGTGACTAACTTCTGGCCAATAGGATATAAGCATAAGTATTCTCTTCGCAGTGGCTGGAAACTTTCTCCAATGGTTGCTTTTTTGCCATGTTTTTTCCCTTCTTTTTTCACTGTACTTGCTAGTAATATGGATGCCATCACTTGGGATAATGAGCATAAAGACAAAAGCATCGGCGTGGTGGGGAGATAAGCTGGAAGAGGCCGGGTCACTGAGAAGTTGAGGAGTGGGCGCACCCTCCACTTTACCATCACTTCCCTCTCTTTGCGTGGGAGAGAGACAGTTCCATCTTAAGCCCCTGGTGGTTTGGGTTTTCTGCCATGTACAGCCAGACCTAATTGCAGCTAAACACAGTGAGGTTTTTAGAAACTGGGAATAGCCTTGTTACACTCTTTTTCATCAGCCCAGAGAAGTGAAGCATTACTACTATGGGAAAAAGCATTCCAAATGTACTTTGAGACCGTGTCATTAGGTTTGGCTTAATAAGTATTCCTGATCTCAACAAAAAAGAAAACTTTAGTGTCAGTAGCAGGAAATTCCAAGTAAAACTATAGAGTTCAGGACATCCAGCTTCCAATTTAGTTGCCTCAAGGATAAAGGAAAAGAAGGGGGTTGGGCAGGGAAAGTATCTCCCAGTTTGTCTTGTTTGTAGAGATTACCACCCCTACTCCAAGAACTATTAAAAGGCCCTCTTGAGAGAGCTGCAACCAAAAATAAAGTGACATTTGGCATCTCTATGGGAACACATTTAACTCTGCGTCTTGAAGAATAATCTGTTTTAATTTGCTAAGTCCAAGTCTAGCTGTGTTTTCCTCTGAGCCTGGAAAAAGAAACCAACCAGTGAGAAAATATTTTAAAACAAAAATGTCAGTCTAAAAAAGAGAAGCAAAATGCCAAGTCAAAGAAAGTTGTGTCAGAATGTGCTCTGGTGAAAACACAGACACTTCGGGGCTCCAATCCGTGATATGCTGGGGTCAGGAAATCAAGGATTTTTGTTGTTGTTTCTCGAAAAAAGTGTTCATTTCTGGGAGCAGCGAGGGGAGTGAGCTATTTTGCCGTGATGTTCAGCAGCAATCATGGCCCTTGCTCTTTCCTGCCTTTGGAATTTGTCAGCAGTCAGAATCAGGGTCAGGTTCAAAACCAAAGAGCTGCATGTAAGTGACCCTCTCCAGAATTAAGTAACATCATCATAATGTAGCTTAGTTCCTGTACTCTGGAGTAAAGAACTCTCTCTGGACCAGATCTCCTGGCTCTTTGTCCTCTCTGCCAAACCACGTGTGATGGGTCTGGCCAGTTCCTGCAAGAGTCCCTCTTTCCCCCAGACTCACCCTGGGTTGACGCTTGCAGTCCTCTCTCAAGAGAGCCGTAGAGGGGCCATCCAGTTTGTGATCACACATGGCAAGATGTTAACCCGAGCCAGCTTCTTCCTACCAGGCTGCACACCTCTCCAATCAGTGTTCACCTGGGGAAAGCAAACCAAGTTGAGTGTTGTCTTAGGCAAAGCCTAAAAGAGGTAGCAAATCTGTTTCAAAGAATAAAAAAAAAAAATCATCTAGTGCATCCCAAAGCCAGTGTGATTGCAAAGAAACTTGCAACCATCCTCAGCCATTCTATTTGTATGATAAATAATTAACCTTCAGCAGGTCAAATTATCTACTTACATATGGACTTCAGGACATTTCTGTTGTTCTTTAACAGAAAATTTCTGCTCTGTTAAAAGCCTTTTTTAAAAATAGACACTTCACCACTAGGGTAAAGGAGATGGTTGTAGAACTTGGCAATGAAATCTACACTCTTGGGGGGAAAAAAGTTGTAACTTCAATCAGCTTTAATCAGTGATTGGTTCTAGCAGTGTGTTCCACCAGGGTAACAGCTCACCATCACCTTGGGCTTTTTCTTTAAAAGCCACCTGCCTGCTACCCCAGTGCCAGGAAGGAAGGTTGCCCTAGTTCCTTGCTCACTTTCCCTTTAAGAGTTGTTGACGGTTCAGCTGGTAAAGATCCAAGTGCCCTCTGGACCACTTGGCATGAAGTGCAGATTTTCCAATCTGGAAGTGAAAGAGCCTGTTCTCCAGGGAAGGCTCTTCAAGGTAATTGCTCTCTGAGAGATTCCCGCCACTGCCTTTGGCTGCCTTCACCAGAGACAAACCCCTCTAGCTGTCAGGACGAGCTAGAAACCCAGAGATGGAAAAACAGGGGCTCAGGAGAGACTGGCTGAGACCTTTGAAACCAGTGGTCTTGCAAAATGGAGGAAGTGGGGGAAGGACCAGCTCAGGCAAAGGCAGCTGAACTCAGACCCCTCCCGGCCCCCAACCCCGTCCCGGACACGCACAACAGCTCTGCCCTGGCGTTTCCACTGTCTCCTTTTCTCTAAAGAGCTTCAGTGAAGGAGGGTTGGTAGAGGGAGCTAATACGCTAGCCAGGATTCCAAGTAGGGAGAGAACAATAATTACTTGGAATAAATACTTTCACGAGCCACCTGGGCTGGAGGGAGGCCCCCAAAGGATGTGCTGGATGAGATAGATGGTGGTTAATGTGAGCACCGCTCCAAGACTAATTTGTGTGTGTCCAGGGGAGAGTGAGAAGGAAAGACACAGAGAAGAAGGAAGTCCTCTCTGGGCCACCACCGGGCGGGGGGTGTACAGTGTGGTCGGGGTGGGGAGGGGAGACTGCAGGAGAGGAGTGACGAATGAATGAGTGGTCAGCTGGAAAGAAACACGGAAGAATGAAAATGGAAGTAGTGCTTTCTGTGAGTTGTGGGCGCCAGATTTCCTTCCTCAGCTCTGCTTTGAAATCTTCAGTGAAGTGTTCATTGTTCCCTACTGCAGCAAGTGTATCCTTTCTGGGGACACGAGTTCCACGGTCTGCTGACAGTGGGGGAAAGGAGGCAGCAGTGCTGGACCCCGGGGACAGGAAAGTCCTGCCTGGGTTGTGGCACTTCTGTTCCTCTGCGTGTTCACATCACGATCTGGGGGAAACGGCAGGAAGGAGATGACAGCCAAAGTTGCTTTTGGATGGAGAAGGGCAGCTCGAAGTCTCCAAGGTGAGGTCACCCAAGGCGAGGGTAGGTGTGAACTTGGAACTGCCTGACCCCAAGGCGCATGCCTTAATTATCTGCATGGGGCCATTCCTCCCCTCGCCCTGCACAGGGCTTTGGGACTGTGGGAATTAGTGCCTAAGCACTGCTGGCCCCTGTGTCTGGTAGGAGCAGCATAGCATGGGGCATCAATGCCTGCATTTTGGAACCAGACTCTGGGTTTGAATCCGAGCTTGGCCATTTACTACTTGTGTGACTTTGGGCAAGTTTTTCAGCTTCTTTGCACCCCAATCTTTTCATCTGCAAAGACAAGACAGTAAAAGTACCTTCTTTATAGAGTAGTTAGCGGAAGTCACGGAGACATGCCCAGAAGAACTTTAGCACAATGCACTAAATGTGAGTTGTTACCATTATTTCTAACAGCAACACAGGATGATGCCACGACCAGCCCTGATGGTCAGCAGCGATAACACTACCCTTCTATCCATGTTTCTGATCCACAGAAAGAGTTCAGGTTCTGAGGCCAAACAGACTAGGTGCCAACCCCAGCTCTACCCCTTCCGGCTGAACCACTCTGGGAAAACGACTTAATCTCCCTGTAAGAAGGAGTGAAAAACACCTCACCTGAGGTGTGGGATTGTTGGGAGGGTGAACTAACATGAAAAGTACCTGCCAAGGCCTGTCCGTCTGGTTTGATGATGACACAGGCTGGTGCCTCCCCCTGCCCAGCTCTGCTTTACTACTCACGTATCCCAAACAGCCCTGGGGTCTCCTAAGACATCAGATTTTCCTACTTTTGGTTAAGTCTGACTGGAGTTAAACTCACCTAGAATTGTTCCCTCTGTGTTGTCTGGAAAGCCAGTTGGCCTCATCTCAGCATCTTGCTGGGCAGGTTGGCTGAAATATGATGGGATCTGTTCAATGATCAAGGCTGTTTTGAGATGGCTGGGAAAACTAATTGGCTAAGGTGGAATAAACTAAGTCAAACACATTTATTATGTGTTATTATCACTAAGTTTATTATGAGCCAAGTGTTTCCCTTTTTCCTCCAGTTTCGGGCAGGTGTCCGTGTTGGCTGCCCCTCCTCCCCTTCTAGGGACTTCCCCAAAGGCTCTGGTCACTGGTTGCCAGCATCTGTAATGCTTCTCCCCCTAGGATGCCAAGCCCCACGGTAGCCCCTCCAGAGGCTTGAGGGGACCAAGACGTTTTGTTTGGCTGTTGGAAGAGCAACCACAGAAAGTCGAAGGACTCGGGGGCATATATATCCCTATGTATGTGGGTAGAGGTGCATTAAAAGTGCTCTAGAAGAATACATCTGGCTGATGGTAGCTGTCTCTAAATGTGAAATAACATGTCTTTTTGTTTTTTAAAATCTGTACTTCTGAATCTTTTCTACAATGAAAAGTATGGCTTTTGCAATAGGGAAAAAAGAATGATTAAAAATGACAGTGATACTCTTAGCTAGAAAATTCATCCAACAGCTATTTATCAAGTTTGTATTGTGGCCAGCACTGGGCGTGGCACGGGATGAACAAAAGGGACAAGACCCCCACGCACTCAAAGAAACTGCAATAAACTGAGGGAAACCTTCAGCCAACAAGTAAATACATCATGACAAAGTGGAATGCATGCAACGAAAGAAATGACCTGGGTACTGTGGTTGAGAGCAATGGAGGAGGCTGTGTGTGATGGAACCTGCCAGAGAAGGCAGTTCACAGGTGACGGGGAGGCCCAGATTTTGAGGAGGAAAAGGAGGCTGCAACACAGAGTGGGCGGCGGAGAGTTCCAGACTTGGAAAGCGCCTGCGGGATGGTCCTAAGACAAGAGCAAGCTTGACACGCGGGAGGGAGTGTTTGCGGATCGGAGTTGAGATTTGGAGGGGAGGGCCAAGTTCACGTAGAGCCTCTAAACCTCGATAAAGAGTTTGGTCTTTATTTTAAATGCAAGAAGAAGACAGGGGGCCCTTGACAGAGAAGAGGCTGGAGTGGTGCCGGTGGAGATGGAAAGAGCCGCGTGGATTTAGGGCATTTTGACAGGGAACAAACAAACAAAACACGTTGCTGGATTAGAGATGGAGAATGAGAGAGAGAGGGTGGTGCCACTGATGGCTTCCCATTTTCTGGCTTGGAATTATCTATCAAAGTGAGGCAGGAATTGTGAGGGGAACAGGTTCGGACCTGCTAAATTTCAGATGACTGGGCTCATTTAAAGGGCAGCGTTCAGAGGGGCCTCAGCCCTCCGATGTGATAAAGTCCAATGCAAACAAGAGAAACAATTCGCCCAGTTGCTCTGGCATAACTTTACAGCTTTATAAAGGTTTAGTTCCTTGTTAATAGATAAGGGGTCATGTATAGTTTTGAGTTGCACTGGATTTCATTTTACGGGTGACAACATGTGCCAGAGAGGCATTTGGTGATCTGGGGTTTCATAAACACAGCCGGTATAACCCTCATGAATCTACCCTAGATATACTAGACAATGTATTTGGGACAAATTATTGGAATAATTTCCAATAAAACTTTGTGGGAAATGTAAGTGGCCAGTTGGTGTGTAGTCTGTGGACAGATGATAGTTATCTTTATCTAGCACTTACTCTGTGCTGTTCATTCTGTTACATGCTGTATGTAAATATCCTGTTTGAGCTCTGTGTTATTTATCATCAATATTACATGAGAAAAAAGGGATCAGAAAGGTAAAGAAACTTGCCCAGGGTCACAGAGCTAGCCAGGGGTGGAGTCTGTCTGTATAGGACCCAGGTCTGGGCTGACTAGAAAGCTTGGCTATGAAGGTGATGTTGTCCTTAGTTGGCAGAATGCATTGTCTCAGAAGCACGGACTGAGGTGGGATTAAGAATGAGAAAGTGGAAGTGGGTATAGCTCAGTGGTAGAGTGCATGCTTAGCATGCATGAGGTCCGGGGTTCAATCCCCAGTACCTCCATTAAAAAAAAATGAGGAAGTTTTATTGGGGAATGACACCGATGGAAAGACAAGACCCCAGTGAAGACCTGTCAAAGTCTCTGAGTCAGCACAGAGCTCTGTAAGCAGACTGCCCAGTACAGGGGTCCTGTATTGGGTGGAGATGGTTAGACCCTTGTACCGCTAGGTCAGCTCATGCATTGGCTGTGGAGGACACTTAAGAAGAGCATGATCTCAGCTTGAAAGCTGGGCTGGATCCCAAATGCTGTCAGTTAACTATACTCCTTCCATCTGGGCAGGAGTCCATCTTAAATGGGGATCTGAACACTGCATCTCCTTGTTTGCTGCAAGCTCTAAAAATTGTCAGTGCCCCTTCATCCAAAAAAAGGCAGTGCATTAGGTGTATATTGCTGTGTAACAAATTGTCCCCAAAGGTAGTAACTTAAAACAGCAAATATTCGCTATCTCATAGTTTCTGTGGGTCAGGAATCCAGGCACCATTCGGCTGGGAGCCTTTGGATGAAGTTCTTTCATGAAGTTGCCGTCAAGCTGCACTGGGGCTGCAGTCTCATCTGAAGGCTCACCTGGAGAAGGAACACGCCTCCAAGCCCACTTCTGAGGTGGCTGGCAGGACTTGGTCCCTTACCCCAGGCCTCCCCACCTCATGGCAGGGCAACTCACTCCCCCCAGAGTGAACAACCCAGGAGACAGTGAGAAAGAGGACCCAAGGTAGAAGGCGTGGTGTTTTATAATCCAACGTTGGAAGTGACCTCCCATCACTTCTGCCACATTCTATTTGTTAGAAGTGAGTCAATAAATCCAGTCTATACTCAAGGGATATATAAGTACAAGACTAGCAGGAGGCAGGGATCATCGGCAGTCATTTTAGAGGCTGCCTCCCATAGGCAGGTGCATATTCAAATAAACAATGCTGATGACAATAATAATATTAGCCACCATGTATTGAACATTTGCTATGAATCGAGTGTGGTGTTCAGCTGTGACATACACCATCTCATCATGACTCCTTCATTCACTCAAGATTCATCAGGCGTCAGGCCCTGGGAGCCATGGAGAACAGAATGATAAATAAAGCATACTTCCTGATTTTTTTTTTTGAGCACGTCTGAGATGCTCATGTCCAGAGATATAATTGTTATAATTTTATAAAGGAGGGAAAGAGAGGTCACACAATTACTAGGTAATTAGGGACAGACTGGGATTTCAAAATGTAAAATAGATGAAGAAGATTACACTGTATAGCACAGGGAAATAAATACAGGATCTTGTGGTAGCTCACAGCGCAAAAAATGTGACGATGAATATATATCTGTTCATGTATAACTGAAAAGTTATGCTCTACACAATTTGACACAACATTGTAAAATGATTATAACTCAATAAAAAAAGGTTAAAAACAAAAACAAATAATACATGCAATAGAATCCACTTATATGAGGTAAAAAAAAAAGACAGGGGCTTGGTTAGCAGTACACAACCTGCAGTAACACTAAAGAAAAAAGCATGGAAAAGATTCCGACACATTAGGACAGCGGCCATCTCTGGAGGAGGAGGGGAATGGGATGGGGGGGTATCGCAAGATGCTTCTGGGGGGCTA